GTCCTCCGATTATGCTTTTGATGCCTTTGAACACTTCTTCGTCACTTAAAAAATTAATAGTATTTATTTATATAAGATTTGGTTAGATTATTTAACATTATATAAAATTATTGAAAATAAGGTTTCTTCATAACTACTTACAAAAGAACTTCTGCAGGGGTCACCCAAACAGCTCCTTCGTTGTTGCGCTCCGCTTCGGACATGGGCGCATAGTTAGGGCGGGGAGCCGAGGTCGATTGTTCGTTGCTCATCTAAAATATATTAATTTATTTTGTTTTTTGTTAGAACGCTTATAATAGAAAATCAAATTTTTACATAAGTATTATCAATTGTCAATGTATATAACATATTAAACTGGGTATAAGTTTAATATCAGGGTCCAATAATTGCTAATAAACAAATACTATAATTATCAAGGAGTTGACACAGTCGATCGAAAAATCAACCGGTTGGAGCTTATCAATGAGTTGACCGAGTCGATTCATTGATAAACTCCATTCTGACGATTCTTCAGGCTACGCCTTGAACCATGGATGGGCTACATCACATGTAGCGACATAATGTCAGTACATGCGCTTGAGAGAGTCCATCGATGACTCAAGCCATAGCCAGAAGAATCCACAGATTGGAGCTTATCTAAGAATTGACTAGGTCAACTCATTGACAAGCTCCAACTGATCGATTCTTCGATCGACTGGGTCAACTCATTGATAAATTATAGGATGAGTTTATTAGAAATTATTGAACCACTCATATTAAACTTATACACAGTGTATTAAATTTTTATAGAAAAAATAATAAAAATACCTCAAACTTTGAAGGGGTGTGACAAGAGCACCCCAAACTTGCATAAGTAATTTAAACACCCCAAACTTTATATAAAGTTTGGGATATTTAAATTACATATGAAAGTTTGTGGTGCTTACCTCACACCCTTTCAAAGTTTGGGGTATATTTATTATTTTTCACTATAAAAATTTATACAAGTATTATCATAAATTGCCCTTGGAGGTAACATGAGGGGTCCATATTTTTTCATAATAAGTTCTTCTATATGAGGGGTCCGTATTTTTTCATAAAGAGTTCTATATATAGCATATTAAACTATCTATTAGTTTAATATGAGGGGTCCATATTTTTCCACAATAAGTTCTTCTATAATTTGGCAATAAATTGCCCTTGGAGGTAACATGTTAAACTTTTTGCAAAGTTTACATGAGAGGAGATCATTTTTTTATGTTTTAGATATATCATTTTAAAATAAATTTAAAACAGTTTGTTATAAAAACAGTTATTATAAATACAGTTTTTATAAAAACACTTTTTATTAAAACAGTTTTTATAAAAACTGTTTTTTACAAAAATCTGTTTAATAAAACATTTTATATAAAACAGTTTATATATATCAATTTTTGTAAAAACAGTTTTTTTAGATAAATTATAAAAACAGTTTATATTAAAACAGTTTGTATAAAAACAGTTTTTATTAAAAACAGTTTTTATAAAAACAGTTTTTATTAGATTAATTATAAAAACAGTTTATATAAAAACAGTTTGTATAAAAACAGTTTTTATAAAAACACTTTTTATTAAAACAGTTTTTATAAAAACTGTTTTTTACAAAAATCTGTTTAATAAAACATTTTATATAAAACAGTTTATATATATCAATTTTTATAAAAACAGTTTTTTTAGATAAATTATAAAAACAGTTTATATTAAAACAGTTTGTAGTTTTTATAAAAACAGTTTTTATTAGATTAATTATAAAAACAGTTTATATAAAAACAGTTTGTATAAAAACAGTTTTTATAAAAACACTTTTTATTAAAACAGTTTTTATAAAAACTGTTTTTTACAAAAATCTGTTTAATAAAACATTTTATATAAAACAGTTTATATATATCAATTTTTATAAAAACAGTTTTTTTAGATAAATTATAAAAACAGTTTATATTAAAACAGTTTGTATAAAAACAGTTTTTATTAAAAACAGTGTTTATAAAAACAGTTTTTATTAGATTAATTATAAAAACAGTTTATATAAAAACAGTTTGTATAAAAACAGTTTTTATAAACACAGTTTTTATAAAAACAGTTTTTCTAAAAACACTTTTTATTAAAACAGTTTTTATAAAAACTGTTTTTTACAAAAATCTGTTTAATAAAACAGTTTTTAATTAACAGTTTTTATAAAAACAGTTTTTATAAAAACAGATTTTTTTAGATAAATTATAAAAACAGTTTATATAAAAACAGTTTGTATAAAAACAGTTTTTGGAAAAACAGTTTATCTAAAAACAGTTTATAATATAAAAAATAAAAATAATTTTTTATGCTTATACTATTATAAAAAACAATGTTTCGTCCAGTTTTTTTCGGGATTAAATTTAAATGTTTAATATTTTGTTAATGGATATTACGGAAATTATATTTAAACGTGTTAAACTATTTTTGGAAGTTTAACACGAGGGGCTATTTATTTAAACAGTTTTTTTTAAATATTAACCTAAATTAAATATTTTCGGAAATTAAATTTAAAGTAGTGCATATGTATAGAGAGGCATGCAAATCAAACACTAAACATATATGTTAAACATGATACTAATTGTATAAGCACGCATTACTTCGAAAATATATTAATCATGCATATGAACATATATTAAACATAAAATAATCTACATTTGAACATATATTAATCATGCATACGAAACATATAAAATGAAATTATCATGCAAAACTACAAATCATGCATATAATAAATCATACATACAACTTTTGAAGATTACAAAATGATATGAAACTAAAAATCATACATCTTATCATGCATTTGAGTATACAATCATGCATTTTTGGAATTTTAATCAAATATTACAAAATAAGATGAACAGAACACATAACCTTGACTGAAGAAGGGCCGACGGAAGAAGGTGGACGAAGGCGGCCGGAGGACGACGGCGACGGCGGACGGCTAGGCGGCGACGGCTAGGCGGCGACGGCGGCACTATCTAAACTGGAAGAGAGGGAAGAGAGAAGGAAGAGGAAGTTAGGGTTTGGGAGTTTGGGTGCGTAGGTTTTTAAAAAAAACGCTAAGTGTTTGTTTTATATAATTTTTTAGTCACGGTCATAGTCACGGTCAGGACCGTGACTAAACCCTTCGTAATTGACGATGTCAGCGAGGCGGTCAGAGCCGCCTTTAATCGGAATAGTCACGGTCAAAGCCGTGACTATAACCGTGACTGTTTTTAAAATTTTGAAAGTAGTCACGGTCATAATCACGGCAATGACCGTGACTATTGTGGTCAGCGCCCCTCTGACCGTCGGCCCTGACTTCGGCATTTACGAAGGGTGTAGTCACGGTCCTGACCGTGACTACAACCGTGACTATTAAATTTATAATTTCATTTTCCTGCCACCCAAGCATTTTATGCTAAAAAATGACTAATAAAGAACCAATTGACTGAGATATGATGCGTACAAGAATGTGTCGTCTGAAACTATGTACACAACTTATTGAACCGAAAAATGAATAAGGTGTTGTTCTGTTCGTCTTTGTGTTAGTTATTACTTATTGTTTATTCTTATTTTATTCAAATCAGATCAGATCAGAAAAATTCAGACATGATTTATTATTATTAATAATAATAATTATTATTATTATTCTTATTATTATTATATCGTTATAATAATATTAATTGTGTTTATATTACTATTATAATATTATAAATAATGTTAATATAATTATTAACATTATTATTATTATTATTATTATTATTACTATTGTAATTATATGAATAACTATTAATACCATCGTAATTGTAGTGTGGACTGTGGAGTATTAAATAAACTGCTTTGAATTTATGTGGTATAGAACAGATTAAGGAGTAATTATTTTACAAACAATAATGATGAAAGAAATTATCAAATATGCTTGGAGAAATTATATCACAAAATTGAAATTACAACAGCACAATTACTCGCTGTCAGAATCGTTATTTTCTACATATATAGTGTCTTCTTCTGTATCTGAACCGTCTATCCATTCACCTTCTTCCTGATATTGAGCATTTTGTTGTGCTACATACATTTCCTCAATTTCGCGCTCAGATGGAATGGTTAGGTCCGGAAGGTGCGTTTCTGGCATGACTTCAACACGTCCGCCATTTGGATCACTTAATTGGACGTTATAGTTGACCGTCTCAACAATAGGCGGAGGTTGGAAAAATTGTTGCTGAAAAGCATCTAGATCAACGTCCTTGTGTTGAGTTTGTGATTTTATTTTGTTCGGCCGGACAGGACATGCACACACCCAAGGATTCTGTGTCCGCCTTGTTGAAGGATATTCTGCATAATAAATCTGCGCTGCTTGTTGGGCGAGTATGAAAGGCTCATTTTTCGGGTACACACGAGAGTGGTTGACGTCAATCATATTATACTTCGGATTTTTGCGCACGCCACGTGTGGGGTCGACCCATGTGCAACGGAACAGAACGCATGTCAATTTTTTCGCACCAGAAGGCATCTCAAGTTCCAGAATCTCCTGCAGGACACCAAAAAAATTGGTTTCCGAGTTATCATAACCGATGGTCGGGACACATAACCCGCTGTTCGTTGTTGGTCGGCCCTCTCCGTAATCGGCTGTGTGATATGTGTAACCGTTTATCACATATTGCCGCCACACTTTGGCACTGGCACCTGGGCCCCACGCTAATGATACTAACAAAGGGTCGACAATCCCACGACTATTGATCTGTAAATATAAACATAATAATAACATTAGGTAAACATTAGGTAATATATATAATTAATGTGTGTATATATATACCTGATACTTGTACCAATTTACAAAATCAGAGTCCACCAACGCATCAATTTCATTCTCAGGAAAGGCTGATAAAGAAGCTCGGAATTCACTGTGAAGTCAAAAATAAAAAAAAACTATAAATTAACTACAAATTTAATTTATAAGTATTACAATTATAACTACAAATTTAACTTACTGATAAAACGGTGAGATTTCTGGACAATTCATGAGGATATAAGTATGCGCAATTTGCAATTCCCCACCCAGGATGTATCGTTGTGTCGCAGCACCTTTACCTCTGCCTGGGTAATTGAAGATGGAAACTACATTTTCATATAAATCCTCGCCAATGTCATCGTTCCGGGCAGGTCTCTTCCTTCTGGTGATGACGTCACGCTCGAAGTAAAAAGACGAGAACGTTGAGATTTCTTGTTGAAGATACGCTTGACAAATTGAAGCCTCAACGTGTGCCTTGTTGGTCACTTTCTTTTTCAGCTCTCCTAGAAATCTGCAATAATGCAATAATACACATGTTAACAGTTATTGTGAAATAAATATTCTTTTTTTAAATGAAATTGTGACTAACCTTTCAAATCTGTACATCCAGCGATAGAAGACGGGCCCAGCAGTCAAAGCCTCATACGGAAGATGTATTATGAGATGTTCCATTGTATCGAAAAACGATGGAGGCATTATTTTTTCTAGATTACACATCAGAATGGGAACAGACTCTTGTAGTCTCTGGAGGGATGCCGCATCCAAAACGCTGGAACATATCGATTGAAACAACAAACTGATTTCAGTAATGCAGGACCATACGTGTTCAGGGAGCATCTCTTTTAGTGCAATTGGTAGAAGTCTTTGCATTATTACATGAGCATCGTGAGTTTTCATGCTCGTCGTCGTGGTAAGTTTGTTCATGTCTACGCATCTAGACAAGTTGGAGCAGTAGCCATCTGGAAACTTCTGAGACGCAAGCCATTTTAATATTGCTGCCTTTTGTGGTTCTGTGACCTGGTAGACTGCTTTTGGAACTTCCTTGCCCTGATATTCTAGATCAACAGAAAGTTCGGGAGGGACGTAACGAGACGAACCTACCGTTTGTGGTATAACAGATGGATCCAAAGGTTCGCCGTGAGAAGTCCAATTATAATAATTGGGAACAAAACCGACCGCGTACAAATCATACCCAACTTCGTGTGGGTCTTTAAATTTGAGATTTTTACACTTTGAACATGGACATCTTATTTTATCACCACTCATATAAGCCGGATGTTCAAGTGCAAATTCAATAAATTCCCCGACTCCCTCGAGAAAATTTGATTGCATTCCGTACAATACCGCATCTTTATCATACATCCAACTTCTATTTTGTTTATACATTATGCCTGAATATTATAATAAAAAATTATATGAAATGCAATGCACACAATTTTAAGTAATTTATTTCACTAAATATAATCAACTAATTTTCACTTTTTTTAAATGAAATGCACAGAATTCACAACAATAATGCACAAAATATATGTCCCCTAATGCACAATAATGCAGATAATTTCACTAAATTAAACATACGTTTAATTAAATCTAACTAATTCATTTAGTTAAATTTAACTAAATTTAACTAGTTCATTACGTCCCCTTTTAATGCATCACTACGTTTAAACCTACGTTTAGCTACCTAATTTAACTTAATTAACACATCAATAGCTACGTTCAAACCTACGTTTAGCAAACGAATTTTAATTAAATTATTTTTGTAAACCTACGTTTAAACCTACACTAAATTATTACGTTAATGACATTTAATCTTATTAGTAATACACAATTAACAATTCACTAAATTAAATAATATGACCAAATTCAACCCAATAATTTGAACATGTATATAAAGTTATTTGAATTAATAAGCAATACACAATTCACAATAACAATTCACAATTCACTTAATTAACACATTACTAACGTATGTTATTTGAACTAATTTCACTAAACATAAACATCATTACGTTTTAAACTACATTTAGCTAATTAATTTTAATTAAATTATTTTATAAACCTAAAAGTTTAACTAATTCTAATTTATGACATTACTACGCTTATAGTTAAAACATGTTGTTAATTAATTAACAACCTCACTAATTTAATAGTTTTAATAATTTAAATTGAACCAACTAATTCTAAATAAAAATTATAATTCAAATAACATACCTTATCTGCATAAACAGGGAAAATGATAGAAGATAGACTACATCCTTCGATCTTTCAAACGGATACTGTATATACTGGGAATGAATTGGTGTGGTTCTGTTCAATGAGCTGCTCCTGCATATATAAAAAATTTAGTCACGGACTTAGTCACGGATTTGTCCGTCACTAAGCAAAACCGTGTCCAATACGCGTCCAACACGTGTTAATGACGTGTAAATGACGTGTTAATCAAAGTAGTCACGGAACTAGTCACGGATATGGCCGTGACTAAAATTATCCGTACATAATGCCGTTGCGAATTAAGTTAAGGGAGTTGAAAAAATTAAATTTTAATTATAGTCACGGGTATAGTCACGGATGTGGCCGTGACTAAGTCGTCGGAATCAAATAAACTTCGCCGGAAACGGAAACGGGCCTATCGGAGGACTTAAGTCACGGGCCAAGACCGTGACTAATTGTAGTCACGGCCATAGTCACGGTCCAGACCGTGACTATTTTATTTTTTAAAATTTCCGTGACTAGTCCGTGACTAGACCGTGACTAAACTAGTCACGGACCAAATCCGTGACTAAAATCCGTGACTATAACGCTATTTTTTTGTAGTGCTATCAGAATCCTTTTTTCATTGTTTACTTTGAAATCCATGTTTTATATCTTATTAGACAAGTTTCATTTCGACTTGCCTCTAGTTACCTTTGTCATCAAAGTGAGTTACATTTCTCCACATGCGAGTTACATTGTCTTGCTATTGAAAAAAGAACAATTCACTCGTGCTTTAGATATGGGAGTAGGATGCTCATTGTGGGCTGCTCCCATAGTATAACAACTGCATTTCATAAGATATGATTTCATTTTAAATATGTCTTCAAAGATATGACTATTTTTGAATTCCGCCAATTTGTTTTCTCAATTTATCCTTTCATACTTTCAGTTTTTACATGTTGTAAACATATACTTTGTCACACCCCGGACCTACCCGGACACGTCAACGACCCGCCGTACAACACGAATAGTCAACCGTAGTCAACTACATCCATATTATACAAGGCGTTATGAATATCATTCACACATAAGTCATCCATAAACATACATAATAAACAATTCAATACGCAGCGGAAACATAGTTTGAAATCGAATGCCATATAGGGCAAACATGAGCACGCAGGCTCTAATTAAAATATCCATGAGCAAATTTATTAATGTTTCAAATAGAATGGAGGAAGCACGAACCAAGTCTTCTCTCCGAGGAATCACTCAATCAACGAGCACAGGATGCAAGCTCTAGCCTCAACCTGAAATGGTGGTGGGACGCCCCCGAAGGGGTCAGTACTCTATAGGGCTATAAAGTACTGGTGTGGATGGCATCTAATAGATATACAACAAGTATTTCAAACACAAGACCTTCAAATAGGGTGATACTACAATATGGTTGTAACCCTAAGTTACCCCATTTGAAAAATACTTACTTTATATAAAAGTCAAGTAGTCGGCCCGTGGGCCCATGTTCATTTAGAAATCACCATTCTCATTCCCCGTGACTATAAGCCACGACAACTCATAGAGTCTAACCCTAACACATGACATTGTATTCTAGAGCTCGGCTCTATCACATCACCATACAATTCATGTCACTTGGGTCAATTTCCTTACCTTGCGTTCTAGAGCTCGGCTCTATCACATCACCACGCAAGCCCTAGAGCTCGGCTCTAGCTAGTTATACAATACATAGACTACAAGTCTACCACCTTACCATGCATTCTAGAGCTCGGCTCTATTAGATCACCATGCACTAAAGTCCAATTCTTAAGCAAACTTATGCCTAGAATTGACATATCAATAAGCTAGCTACCATGGGTCATCCTTAAAGACTGCCCATAACTTAACCTTAGTTTCATACTAAGTCATTATATACACTTGAAGTATATTCAAGTGCATTTCATGAAATCCATGTTGGAAAAATGTGTGAAAAATTGCATTAAATGGCTATTTTCGGGCAATTTTTTGAGTGGGGTCCACTTCCGATTTGGGTCGGGTCAAAGTGGTTTCGGATTGTCCTTGTTAAGGACTACAATTCGATATATGGTACGCTCAAAACGGATAACGGGTGAATGAGAAATCGCTTTTCGAAGTTTACCCGTTAGAAGGGAAAAAGGATGGGTTTCTAGTGTGTTAATTTCCCACACCGGAAAACCCAAGGGATTTGCTACCCTTTATAAAGGGACTTCCCCCTTATGGAGTTAAGATTCTTAAGGGTAAAGGCTCTCTCCACACGCGCAGGGGGGGGGGGGGTGCAAATCAAATCCCGAATTCGGAGAAGAAAAACCGCGACTTGCGTGCGCGGGCGACCTGCGGACACGAATGTCGTCCAAAAATCTATCTCTCAAGAGATACGATTAATTTTTGTTTTCTTCCCGAAACGTTAAATTTTTTCCCAGCGGCAGAAGTGCTCGGACAGAAGCCTACGGATCAGAACACCTCGTTGGTGTTCTGATGGCAGAACCCCTCATGGGGTATTCTGATGGCCGCCCATCAGAGTTGGGGGTACTCTGATGGCCGCGGATCAGAGTTGGGGTCTTCTGATTGGCCTCCGATCAGAACCCCTCCCAGGGTGTTCTGATGGAGGTCTTCTGTCGCGCTTCTGAAACGTTACATCAATTAATGCCCAACGTTTATATCTTTTAATGCAGCGTTAAATGGACAGTTCATGGATGATTCAATGCCCAACGGACTGGTCATTGATGTCCAACGTTCAGGTCCATTAATTCACTATTTTCACACAACAAATTCTCCTATATAATGGCTGGCAGGTGGTTTGCAACAACACACGTTCTTACACGATTTTACACGAATCCATACACGTTTTAGCTCTAAAAACACACTGCTAGCACTCTGAAAATTCCTTCTGTGTTCAGTCTTTGTTCTCGTTCGCTGGAACTTTTGTTTGAGTGCTCAAACACTAGTTCGTTGTCATCGTATCCTGGGAAACTATTGTTGCAACGCTCCTAGCACCGTGGGAGGCAACAAATACGTTTTAAGGACATCGTGCGTAGCACGAGCTTTGACAAATTCTGCTCCATCTCTTTTCTTGTTTTTCTTTCGTCATTTTAATTAATTAATTTATTTTAATTAATTTTCTTTATTTTCCGAAACACACCCAACAATCTTAAAACGTATTTGTTTTGCTAAGCTTGTATCATACGGATACAATCTTAAAACGTATTTGTTTGCTTAAGCTTGTCACCTTGGTGAACGAACTTAATTTTTTGTGCTTTCGGAAAAACGTTAAGAAACGAAAATGACTTCTCAAGAAAACGAGATTGGTGTTGGGCAGAATGTTCTGAACGACAATCACTCTGAAAGCGGAGCTCCGGTGAACAATAGTTCACAACGCGGAGCATCTGCTTTGAACCAAAGGGTTATCCCTATGGTTACCGTGCCAAGCAACTCTGTGGAGAAACCCGAGAAATTCAATGGGTTAAACTTCAAGAGGTGGCAGCAAAAGATGCTATTTTATCTCACTACTCTCGGTCTTGCACGTTTCTTGACCGAGGACGCGCCGGTTGTAACCGGGAGTGAGGTGGAT